GAGGAGTGAGCAATATTGCAAATATTCACAAACTCTCACTCACTCACCTTTACCATGCCACAGATAATTTTGTAGGGGAGTGCATCGTTCATCCTGTGTTAAATTAGAAATCTAATGTATGGAAGCTATTTTAAATCTGCAAAAGCATTTACGTAATGTGAGCAGAAAGAGCCCGGTGAGCCGGTTTCAGCTGATAACGTTCGTGATCGAATCGGTCATTCAGCGTCCACTCGATGAAGCTGCACACTAGCCAGTAGGGCAACAGCCGGCGGAGCCAGTCCAGCCATCGTCTTGTGTAGACGGCGTCAAAGGGCAGCCCTCCGGTGACCACCCGGTGGAAGACCCACAGGCCATCTCGCCGGGTGGAGAGGTACACCTGTCGGGCGACAGAAGAGAGCTCCACGGCGGCGTCGGTGGCAGAGTTGCCGGCGCCGACGACGACGATTCGTTTGTCGGCGAAGCTGCTGTCCGCCTGCTTCAGCGAATGTGTGTGCATGATCCGTCCCTTGAACTTCTCCTGACCTCTAAAGGTGGGCACGTTCCGTACATTGTGGTGCCCCACACAAATGGCCACTGCGTCGTACTCCTCAGGCTGCTCCTCCTCAGCATCGGTAGCCAAATTGCGGTACCTCACCGTCCACCGCCCGGTCACCTCGTGTCCGGGCGCCATCTCCACTGCGGTGACCAGGTGGCGAAAGCGAATGTACGATTCGTACTTCCACGGCTTCGACGCCGATTCGTAGTACTCAATCTAATAAAAGAAGAAAACAAATTAGTGTGTTTGTCGGTAACTTGTTTGTTTTGCTTACATTGGTGGTGTTGTGCATGTAATTGGGCGCACTGGCCGGCGGTGGAAAGTTGGAGATGGCGGACATCTCCTTGCTGGTGCTGATCACCGTCGACCTCATCACCGAGCCGGTGCCATTCTGGTCCACCTCCGCCTGAAAGCGCCACAGGCCAAAGGTGTAGGTGCTCTTCTCGAAGACGACCACATCGTTGAAGCCCTCATCGAGCAACGCCTTTGTGACCGCTGCACCGGAAACGCCTGCCCCAATGACGGCAAATCGTTTGCCGCTGCTGTTGTTGTTGTTGTTACTGTCGGCCATGTTCTTTTCCGTTGTCTACTTTCGTCTTGTGATTGTTTTCGTGTACTTTTTGTACCACTTAAAAAGTTCACTTCGTGACTTCAGTTCTGTAAAATTATGCAAATAGTTTGTTGGAAATCTTGATTATCGAGAAATCAAATATCTAGCCAATAAAGTAGATATCACTCAAACTTCCCCGAAGAATGATTGCCGGAGTGTTTGTGCGCTGCGGTCGCGTCATGTGGCAGTCACGACGTCAAAAGTTTAAATGCTAACTGGATTAAACTGCATCACGGGGCATCATTGGGCACACAAACAAATTACCTTATTTTGGTATTTTTGTTTATTTGCACCTCAAAGAGGGGGTTCCGTATGAAACTTCACCTCTCTTATCAATCGATCACATACTTCATATTTTATAATTATGCAGCATTTCAAATTCAAAATAATTTTGATGACAATCACTAAGTTAGCTCAATTTAAAATGTAAATTGCTCAAGATGATAACATCTTTTAGAGTGTTTTAAAGAAAAGAAAAATAAGAAATAACTTAATCACGTTTGCATTTCAAACAATCCTTGGCAGGACTTCAGAATGAAACGAGTTAAAGTGTAAAGAAGAAAAAAGATTAATATTGAAAGTACACAAAAAACTACAAGTTGAATACTTTTAAAAATTGAACGGGAATGGCCTGAGAGAAACAAAGCAAAAAGAAGTTGTGTTTAGCAAATATCAACTCTTTTCAAAATTGAATGTCAAGAGCGTATTAATGCATTATTTTCCCTTTTTCTAGCTTGTACACAAAATACACTGCTGACCATGATGACCCAACTGTTGGAGAGTCTAAGTGAACCTCAAACTGTGTTCACTCTACTGCTATGGCTGTTTCTGCTTTACATTGGACTGGTGATTGGGAGGAAGGTGTGGAAGTTTCAGAAGATGGCCAAGAAGGTCAATGCGCTGCCGGGCCCAGCCCTCTCCTGGAACCCACTGGGCCATACAACTCTCCTGCGAACGAACATTAAAATTGGCCAAATGGAAGGTTAGTAATACATAACAATTGAAAATCACTGTACTAACTTTCCTTTGCAATCTTTACTCTAAAACCCAGGCATGCTTGAAGCTTTTAGCTGTCTGGCGAAAATGTACGAAAGGCAGTACTCACTGTGTCGCATCTGGATACTGAACAATCCCATTGTTCTCGTCTACAAGGCCGACGTTGTTGAGGTTTTGTTGAAATACTCATTTTAGGGTAGAGTTTACAACATGTCATGTTATTTTTTTGTTCTTCTCACTAGAAAGTCCTAAGGAGCCCAACTAATATAAACAAATCTTCGGAGTACTATTTTTTCAAACCCTGGCTAAAAGATTGCCTACTCCTCAGGTTAGTCTTACATCATTTTGAATAATAAAACATTCTTACTGTAATCGGACCGTTTTCTGCTTGTCTGCTTTGCAGTAAAGGCTCCAAATGGCTGCACAGGCGGAAAATCATACAACCCGCCTTTCACCTTCACATTCTGGAGCAGTTTCTGCCGGTTATGAACGAGCACACTTCAGTGCTGCTGAACAAAATCTACCAGGGAGTCTCCACCTCCGAAGACGTTTTTGACGTGAAGAAGCTCATTCTTCCGCTTACCTTTGACATCATTTGTGGTTTGAGATTCTTTTTTCACTAATGACTAAAAAGTGAGTTTAACCACACTTTTCCTACTGCACACAGAAACGGCCATGGGCGTGAAGTTAAACTCGCACGAAGAGGGCAGCAAGTTCATCGAGACACTGCTGGACATGGTGCAGAGCATCATCGTGCGGATGACCAAGCCCTGGTTCTGGAACGACGTCCTCTACTACCTCTTCTCCACTGGCCGGGAGGACGCCAGGCGGCTGAAGAAGGTCGAGGACTTTGTCCTCAACGTCATCCAGGCGCGAAAGGCCGAGTTTCTGCAGAACAACTCTTCTTCAGGGGCAAAAAAGCCAGAAGTGCCCGGCAGCCGAAAGCGTCGTCTGGCCTTCCTGGACCTGCTGCTGGAGCAGCACTTCAACGACCCCCAGCAGTGGACTGACGCCGACCTGGAGGAGGAGGTGCAGATCTTCTTCGCCGCCGGCCACGAGACCGTCTCCGTGAACATCATCTGGACGCTGCTGATGGTGGCCAACGACGGGCGCATTCAGGGCAAACTCCAGCAGGNCGAAAGGCCGAGTTTCTGCAGAACAACTCTTCTTCAGGGGCAAAAAAGCCAGAAGTGCCCGGCAGCCGAAAGCGTCGTCTGGCCTTCCTGGACCTGCTGCTGGAGCAGCACTTCAACGACCCCCAGCAGTGGACCGACGCCGACCTGGAGGAGGAGGTGCAGATCTTCTTCGCCGCCGGCCACGAGACCGTCTCCGTGAACATCATCTGGACGCTGCTGATGGTGGCCAACGACGGGCGCATTCAGGGCAAACTCCAGCAGGAGATCGACGACGCCTGGGCGCACTTTGAGCTCAGCAACGACCCGGACCGGCTGGGGCTGAGCTCTGAGCACCTGCAGGCGATGCCCTACCTGGAGGCGGTCATCAAGGAGTCGCTCCGACTGGTGCCGCCCAGCATGACCATGGGCCGGTACGCCCGCGAGGACGTCCACCTCGACGACGGGCTGGTCATTCCGCGGGGCTCCACCGTCATCATGCTCATACAGCGCATCCACCACGACCCGGCCTTCTTTCCCCAGCCGGAGCGCTTCATCCCCGAGCGGTGGACCGACCCGGAGGCGCCCCACCTGGCCAACTCCTTCGCCTATGTGCCCTTTAGCGGGGGGTCAAGGAACTGTGTCGGAAAAAACTTTGCCCTCAAGGAGGCCAAGATTTCCATCGCCTCCATTTTGCGGCACTTCTCACTGGAGGCGCTGCAGACGGTGGACAAGTTCACGCTTGACTTTCGCATTGT